ATACATCCTGTCTATGGGAACTCTAAAGACAGCAACTTTCTCTTACTGCAACATGATAAGGATCCATTTCAGAGGTGTGTTTACAGAAGGATTTGTAATAAAAATCTGAAATTCCATTGATGTCTGTCCAGACAAGTCAGAGATGGCCAGACTTGTTAGCCAGACTGTTCTTCAGCACAATACTCCTTTAGCATTCTCAAGCAACATAATCAACACAAATACCTCTTGAATCATCACAGCCTTTAACCTATTTATCCTGTGCCTAGAGATTAAAAAAAAAAAACACCAAAAAAAACCAAACCAAAAACAAAAGCCCCCAAAGAACAGCACATACAGACACACACAAAAAGCAAAAAAACCCCTCAAAACTGCACACCAAAACCTAACATAAAAAAATCAGGTCATCTTCTTTCTTGGTCATTAATTCCTGCGTGGATTTACCTGGCAAAGAAAACCTTAAGGTGTGGTGGAATGGGGGAATCAAGCCTGGCTGTACCAAGTCTCCAGGCAGCATTTTTTTAGGAAGGCAGGTCAGAGAAAAAAGAGTCAGTGATGGTACTGACTGAAGTGCCTTGTGGCCAAACTGTTTTTCCAGAGTGACTGTGCTGGCCCTGCCTGTCTCCCTGCTTTGTAAATCAGCTGCTCTCAGCAGGTGCCAAGATCAGCAACAGGGAAAATTCATCACACAAATATTCAAGTGCTGTTCTAATTGATCCTCACAGGCACTAGTGCAAAAATCTTCCCATCAAAGAACGACAAAGAACACTAAAAATGTCTTAGGATTTAGTCTGAGCTGCACCCATGTGTGTGGGTCTGCGTGTATATACATCTTAATTCTATCTTTTGACCATTATCAATGAGAATACTGTCAAAAAATGTGCTAGTGGAGTTATTTTCAAGTAGGGGTGAGTGCAGTCCAAAGTCTGTGTTGATGAAGGATAGAAAGGAGCCTCCTGAAGCTCAAGCCCTGAGCAAGAAATCAGGCCACAAGCACCTGAAAAATGAATCAAGATTTCTGTCAAAAATCAGGTGTTTTATCCCCCCTAATACACTGATTGTTCCCAAAGCAAGCACTTCCAAGGGGCAATTTGTTGCCCTCCCACTTAGAAGTGTTCTACTTTCCGTGCTAAATTTGCCCATGGTGAATTTGTTCTTTCATTAGTGTTGTTCCTTTGCTTAAATACATCTTTGCCTGCCCTGGAGTTTACCGTCCTCCCCAGTGTTTTTAAAGAATACAGTGCAATTCTGCTCTGGTGAATAGACACTTACAGCAAGAAAATTGTCCAGAGGCTGTAACAAAGTGGAGGCAAATTCACCCTGGAATCTCTCACAAAGTGGTAGATTTTCTTTTCTTCCACTCTCAAATGCACTGCCCGCTTCATTGTACAGACCTGCAACAAAATTTAAGCCACAGTAAAAATTCTTATTATTAGGTGACCTTGATCCTGTCTTTTATGACAAGTTTTTCCTTCCATTCTCCCTCAGGTTTCCAAAGTTTCACTGTTTAACTGTGACCTGGCACCTTCGTTCCCAGGGAATCACTTGTATTTTCCTGCAGTTTTTATGCTGTTATCTTTATTTCAGCACATGATCTTTGTCATCTGAGGAACCAACTCACTTTTCTCGTGTCACTTTCCCCAGAAGGCAAAGAATTCTGTGCATATGTAGAGTAGAGCCCCTGTTCTATATTTAGTGTGCAACCTTAAGCAAGTTTTGACTTAAATTCAAACATCCCCTTCCTTCAAGTTGTTAAGCTCCTCTTCAGCTAAAGTGAATTATTTTAAACTGAATCCTGTGTTTATCAAAGTTTGGTACCTAGAATTTGAGAAAAGCAACAACAACAACCAAAAACCCCCTAGCCAACCAAAAATACTCAAACTCTTGGTTGTAAACATGGTTCTTAGAGTTTAGAAACTGTGGGGTTTCAGTCCACAGCAGGGGCAGATAGGATGCATTTATATGATTAAATGACGGAGGGACAGGCTGACCTGACATGAAATTATTGTGGGAAATAAAACCTTGTTCCCTTGCTGGTCAAAAGAATAATTTGCTAAAGGAACCCTCATATCTACATCATTCAAAATAGGCAAAGCATCTATTTTTATTGTAGGCTCTACAAGAACCACCTGATCTGTTCAGCACAGAACATTCGTGGAATGATGTGAAAGAATTTTTAAAGGAGCTCTGTGACGCAAAAGAAGTCCTGTTTATGCAAAAAAAAAAAAGACAAATAAACAGGAACATAGAAAACTGACACCTGAAACTGTGAGACTAATGAGACAAGAAAATGTTCTGGTCTGTAAAGCCTAAAAGCACCTTACAATGCTTGTACTGTGCAGAGTTGGACAGGAGCACAAGAGATTATGAAAGTTGAGCTGTGAAACATTTCTGTGCAGTGTTGGTCTGGCTCTGGGTGTAACATCCTCCATTGACTCAGGGTTTCACTGAACACTAATCATCATTCCTACGTGTGACACCCTCATACACTTGGAGTGTCAAAACAGTTCTAACATGACAGTAACACAGTTCCTGTGACCTTTTCTGTTTTACTGAGAAAATTCTCTGTGTGAAATGGACTCACAGTCAGTTCAAGAGGGACTCTGTCACATAGCCCAGGAAATTCTAAACAAGATTCATATTTGCAGTTTTAGAAGGAGGAAAGAGGATTTCTTTGGGCTAAATTGCTGGGCTACTTTTTCTATTCAAGCCCCTATTAAATATTATCTTTCCAGATCTTGGCTGTAGAAGACAGCTGAAATGAAGAAATTTTCTGCCTGAAGCCAAAACAAGCAGAAAATCACTAACAGAAATAGGTGGGAGCCTTCAAACAGAAGGGGTACTCGTTACTCGTTTCAGAGGTGAAAAAAAGGCATCTAAAGGTAAGAGAAAATGCAGGAAGATTTACCAATACAGCTTAAAATAAAAGGACCTCTAAGGTTAGTTACAGGTTTTTTGTGACCTGAGCATTAAGGTGACCTTGAAGGCTTCTTTAGATGATTCTGTGTTTCATTTTTATTCTCACATAGCGAAGTATAAACCTTATTTTTTTTCATAGGAATACAACGAGGATATTTATTGGGTCTACTCTGCAGCTCTCGGGAATGATGTAGAAAAATCACTTAGTTAAAAATGAAATTTTCAATTACCACATATGCAAGGATATCATCGTAAGGCTCCTTTCCCGGCATGAGCCTTGCAATTCCAGCAGGATGTGGCAGCATGAGGACCATTTGCATATGCCCCCCCTTCATTTTTCCATGTCTTTTGGCTTGTACTAGAGACCATGTCCAAAGCCTGCTGCAATCCTACTTTAAATCAGGCCATACTTTTCTCTCACACTGAGTGAAACAATTGCATTTATGGGTTTTGGGAATTACTTTTGCATCATGGTGCTTATCACCAAGTTGCACTGGGGGGTGAGAGCAGCAGGAATCCCCTTTTTCCTTGCCTCTTTGCAGCCTCACCCCTCAGCTCTCTCTCCTGTTCTGGATTTGGGGATGTAGAGATAAATAGGTACCATATTCCCTCGGGTCCCATCCAGCTCAGGCAGGAGAGATTGGACTCTGAATTGGGCTCTAACATCCCATTTTCAGTCTGGGTCATGGGTAGGTTACTATGGGCATGAAATGAAGGGTGACACTCCTGAGCAATGTGGCTGCATGGCTGTTCTCCCCTCAGGCTGGAATTACAGCAATATTCCAGTCCAGAGCATAATCTGAACCTGGATGGAGCAGCACAGAGCCAGTACTTACCAAGTTCAAAATGCCCAGGCATCCATCACAGGCAGAATGGCTCCAGTCTGAACAAGGGCTGCACAAGATTGCTTCTGTTTTAGGATTAGGGAAAGGAACACGACAGAAATTAAATCTATGTTAAAGTCTGATTTATGTCAAATTACATCAAATCAAAAGAAGGATACGGTTCTGCCCATAGTCTCATAGAAAATAATGGGTTAATATTTCCTTAGTCTAACAGGTTAGGACATAAACTGTGATTTAAAATTGTGTCTAAATCCCCTGAGTACCTTGCAAAACCTATCAATGTTATCTGCTCTGAAGTGTTCTGAAGTTGGGCTGCTTCATTTAATTTTTAGTTTCTCTGGCTGGTACAGATGGATGTAGTGGATTTTCTTTGTTTTATTGACAGCTGAGGTATTGAGATGGAGAAGACTGAGATGGAGAAGAGTTAAGGGAGAATTAGAGCAATAGGTAAGAGCTGGATGGGGTGATTTTTTGCTTTCTAATGCCTGAACCAAGCAAAACAAGTACAAGATGGATTTACAGACCAGTTAGTACTTGTTATCTGGCACAGAAAAGGTTAACAAATCTACTGCAGGAATAAAGAAACACCCCAAATACTTTTGGGTAGCTGGAATATTAGAAACAGCATGCTTTAGTTCAGGGCAGGTAAACCTTTACAGCTAATCTTTTTGGATACCAGTATTTCCTTTCAGATGCTCACATGTGTTTTAAGATTTGTAAATCCTACTGAAAATAGTCACAGTGGGTGAGCAAACATTGTACCACCACTGGAAAACAAATGCAAATAAAATGAGTTCCTTTGAGCTACACGCTAAATGCACATTTCTGAGCCTAACTTCATTCACCAGGTACATAGCTGAGACCCTCTAGTGGCATAAACATTTATTTGCCTTCAGCATATTATTAAAATCCTCTTTCACAGTCATATTACAGCAGCAAATTCACAGGTAGCTTTTTTGGACATTCTGGGGGCTGTGGCAAAGTGAATCTGGGATTAGACACTGTGCAGGCTCATGTTAATGAATGTAAATTGATTTTTAGCTGTGAGGGGCAATTACAGATGCACTGGAAGGAGAAGGGAATTTTTGAAAGGATGTTCTAGAACTAATTACTATCAGCAAGAAGCACGCAAAGAGCAACGCAATACCCAGGGCAGCCAATAGGGACAAAAGCTTCTACACAAATCTGTCCTGACCTGGGAGTAAGACTGTTTAAAAACACTGATCTGCACTTAGCTTGGAAATGCGCATCACCCTCTTTCTCCCTCAGATATTCTCTCTCTCTCTTTCTCTGACACACACACACACATCCACGCTCCTGGATTTGCAGAAGACAGACATCCAGGGCACTTCTTGGCATCCCCAGGAAAATCCTATGGGATTAAAAACCCACAGCAGTAAGTACTCGTGCATTAAATGTTTATTAAGTGGCATGCTGTCAAAACCTGGGTTTAACAGTAAATACAGGAGGAATTTAATGGAAATTGGTTGTGTTTGATTTTTCCCAGGAATTGCTGGGAGCTGCCTCTTGAGGGTTACAACTTCACCTTTTGCTTTTACAGATGCTTGTTTGCTACCCATGTGGTAACCTCTGGACAGCCAGTAATGCATTCATTATCCCCACTGACTGAGTGAGGGAGCAGTGCAGCAGTAACTACTTCACCCAGCTGAAGGCAGACAACAAAAGGAGGAAAATGATGAATTCGGACAATTTAACCTCCCAAAGCTTCCTCTCTGCGATTCACAGCAACGCCAGCAATTTGTTCTCAGGTCTCCAGTTTGTTCAGTCCTTCAAGCCACTGATCATCCCCTGCTACTCCCTGGTGGTTTTCATCGGTGTCATTGGGAATTACCTGCTCATCTACGTTATCTGCAAGACAAAAAAGATGCACAACGTCACCAACTTTCTCGTGGGCAACCTGGCTTTCTCAGACATGCTCATGTGTGCCACCTGTGTGCCCCTGACCCTCGCCTACGCCTTCGAGCCCCGGGGGTGGGTGTACGGGCGCTTCATGTGCTACTTTGTTTTCCTGATGCAGCCCGTGACCGTGTTCGTGTCCGTGTTCACCCTGACTGTCATAGCCGTGGACAGGTACTGTGCCATGGTGTACCCCTTCCGCAGGAGGCTCACCATCCCCATCTGTGCCTACATCCTGGCTGCCATCTGGCTGCTGAGCTGCACCCTGGCTGCCCCAGCCTTGGTCCACACGTACCACGCGGAGTTCCCGGAGCTGGACTTCTCCATCTGCGAGGAGTTTTGGTTCCACGGGAAAAGGGACCGCTTGGCTTACGCCTACAGCACCCTCATCATCACCTACGTGTTGCCCTTGGCTGTCATCTCCCTGTCCTACCTGAGGATCTCGGTCAAGCTGAAGAACCGTGTGGTGCCAGGCAATGTCACCCAGGGCCAGGCTGAGTGGGACCGGGCACGGAGGAGAAAGACTTTCCGCCTGCTGGTCTTGGTGGTGGCAGCCTTTGGAGTCTGTTGGCTGCCCCTGCACATCTTCAACGTGATAAAGGACATAGACATCAGCTTGATTGACAAGCAGTATTTCAACTTCATCCAGCTGCTGTGCCACTGGTTTGCAATGATGTCTGCCTGCACCAACGCCTTCCTCTATGCCTGGCTCCACGACAGCTTCAGGGGAGAGCTGAAGAAAATGTTTGCCTGGAGAAAGAAGAAAATTGGACCCGCTACAAACTGCATTATGGCCAGTGTGGTGCTGTAAACGAGGTCTGGTGGGAGTGCATTTCCTTTGTACAGTAACATTGTAAGTCTTTTCCACTTCTAATTAGTCCTCATTCCTGACATTTGTCTTCGGGGCTCAATTATAACAACACAATTCCCATGCTTATCTTCCTCAGCACCTCCACTGCTAATGGAGAATGACAGGCAGATGTCATGTTTAAAAAATGTCTTTTCTTCTTTGACTGGAGTTAGAGGCAAGGAGATATTACTACAATAAGATACAGGGATCCTTCCTATCTCTTTTGGGTATTACTCAACACAGACATGGGTTTTGGGGATGGGGAGAAGCAAGGATGAGTACGAAACCTAAATACCTCAATGAGGGAGTGTTTTGGATTGGGTAGAAATTTAATTTTCATATCTACCCAGAGTCCATTCCTTAGCCCAGGATCTAAGGCAGAGGACTAACAATATTCCTGTAGTCCTCTTGGGTTAGGGCCAAGCTCCAAACAGCATAAAGGTCTCTGCAATGCCATCCCTCAGCAGCTATCCCAGCTGTGGGCAGGAAACCAGGTTGGCAGGAGCTGCTCCAAGCCTCCCTGTGCCAGCTGAGCTGTGCCAGCAGCAGTGGGATGCAGTGGTGTCCCCTCTCCCGGGGGTGTGGGTGACATGCAGGGTGACAGCAGCAGCTCACTTGCAACCCCCCCAGGTGCCTGTGCACGAGATGACTGGGTCACCTGTGTGCCTGTGGCCCTTGGTGGGCTGTGCTGTGTCTGCCCTGCGTGGTTTCTCCCCTCACCCCCATCTGGTCCCTGCCCCAGGCCCAGGGGGTGGAGTCACAGCCCTTGTGACTGCACAGGAATTTGGGGTTTCTGCTTTTGGAACCCAGCATCTTCCTGCAACCCCAACCCCCCCCGTGTCTCGTGGGCCTGCAGCAGAGCATGTAGCAAGGTGAGATGTGGTATTGCAAGAGGGCAAATAAAAGCAGAGTGATGTTATTTCTGTGATGTGAAATGTGGTGCAGAGTGGGCAACAGCCTCCTTGGTAGATTTGCAAGTGCTGCCATCAAGGATGGACTGACTGGAAACATAACCTGTAGTGGAAAATCATTCAATTAGGGGACATTAAGACACACCACCACTTTACTGACACTGAATTGTGTTCCTGCCATTGTCTCATGTAGCCCTACTGCAAGTCAGCTGCCTTTGTCATCACAGCATTGTCAGTGCTGAGATGAATTCCACTCCTTCCTCCAGGAGCTGATTTTGACATGTGGCAATGGTGCCATCAGCTTTGATCTCCAGGGGCTTTGATAGTGCCTTGAGGAGCCCTTCTGGAGGTGTCTGTTAAGAGACAGTGGGTTGAAGGGGCCATGGACACTGAGCCACTGCGTGAGCAGTCAAAGCCAGAGCTGCCAGAGGGAGTGGAGTGGCAGGAGCTCCCCTTTGAAGGAGTCTTTTGGGAAGAAACAATTTCCTTTGACACTCACATTTCAATAAGATGAGGGAGTTAGAAGCTATAATCAAACTAATGGTAGCTATAATCAACCTAATGGTTCCTAGTTCCTTCCTGAACTGAACTGAAAGTGTCTGAGATCACAGGTGAGTGTACAGGACAAAGTTCTGGAAGCAGACACTGATCCTGAAGAGGTTTTTTCCAGGCTGCTCAGCCAAAAGCTGTGATGGCATGAGGAGCTGCCTGGTGCTGAGGTGAGATCAGCCAGAGAAGCAGAGCAACCCAGGGGCAGTTTTGGCCATCTGGCTGACCACACCTGCACATGGCCAGGTACACATGCACTGTGAGGCAATGCCAGTGCACATGGGGAGAGAGGGAAGGCAGAGAAGAGGTTTCTTTGGTTTGCGCATGTACTCCTGCTGTGAAACTGTGAATATAATTCTGCTCATCACCTTTCAATAAGCTTAATCTGGTTAAAAAACTCCCACAGATCCATATGCACACACTGAGAAAAGTGCTGGAAAAACATTTGAAATCCCATTTCACAAATTCCCTAAAATTTCAAGTTGTTTTGCTGCCAGTAAGGAGGATATTAGAATCTGTAGTGAAAGGACAATAAATTAGAATCTGATAGGACAAGGAGTAATGGGTACAAATTGAAAGGGGGGATATTTAGGTTAGGTATTAGGAAGAAATTCTTTACTGTGAGGGTGGTGAAACACTAGAACAGGTTGCCCAAGGAGACTGTGGATGCCTCAGTCTGGCAGTGTCCAGAGCCAGCTGGATAAGGCCTTGAGCAATCTGGTCTAGATGATGTTTAAGGTCCGTTCCAACCCTTTAACATTCTATGATTTTGTGACTCTGTGATTACAGAAACACTGAATGAAGGAGGTCCTTTCAAGCTGGGCATTACTTGCACTCACTCTGAGATTGAGTGTATCTGCCTTGCTTACCTTGATTTAGAGATTTGAATGACCTGTTAAAGAATGTTTTGCTTTGCTGAACTTCAGGAAATTATTTTTCCTTCAAGCTCAATACAGCAAGCTACTGGAATAAGTGGTGATTTTGAAAAGACAAAAAACCCCTCACTTCCAAACAAACCAACCAAATTTTACAAGCTTTTCAGCTTTTTTTCAGGACTCTTTTGAAGACCACAGAGAATAGGACACCAAGAGAGCACTGAAACAAGACTGCAAAAAGCAGCTTCAAATAACAAAAAAATCCAGACTTTCAGAGATTTTTCTTTTACGGAATTATGTTGATCTGTCAGTTTATAAAGTTTAATTAACATTGAGGTGGCCCATAATGTGCACAACCTTCTGCACTAAATACAGACAGTGCTGTAATCCAGAGTGATCCAAAGCTCAGTGGGGTAACTGGGCTGAGTTTCTCAACCACAGCAGGCCTGGGATCATTTCCTTCTTACACATCATGTTTTTACCCTCATTTGCCAGCACTGTAGTTTGAGTTATTAATGTTCTTCTGAATGCTAATGGCTGAAGATGGTGGCTGCAGAGAGCTGCCTGAAGCAAACAAGGGATTTGTCTCTCTGTTTTGTTTCCTTGAGACAGAAATGAAGGGCTGTTCAGTGCACATACCGTTCCCACAGTGACAGATGCTTTGGGAACATCTCTCTTCCAGCAGCCTCTGGAGCTGCTGTTAGAGCAGTGCCAAGGTCTGTCATCTCACAGAGGTCCTCAGGAGTGCCCAGCACAGCAGGCACCCTCCTCTAAGTGCTGGTTTAACCTGGACATGCCTCAAACCTGTCAGGATGTGCTTTGGCAGCAGGAAGCTCAGAGCCTGCCCCTCGCTTCAGGCACTTCTCACGAGTAGATTTTGCAGGTGCCCCCTGGAATGATCTGCATTCTCCAGCACAGACTCCTGGAGCTCCTTCTCTCTCCTCTGCAGCCCCCTTGGTCCAACTCACTGGTCCTGCATTGCCATTTTTCCAGGCTTTCCCTGCGTGGTGCACAAAGGAATTCCAGCCATGGGTTCTGCAGGCTGGCAGGGACCCAGGCACGGCCACATTCGCTCAGTCCCGCCCCTGAATCGAGCCCCAAGAATCTCTGCTCAATTTAATTACTGTTTTCTCTGATATACAGAGTAATAAACAATAATAAGATTTAGAGGCACGTTGGTGCACTTCTTTAATCCAGTTATGCAAATAATTCTATTAAAAGCTGTCATGAGAAGCTTGTTTGCCAATCTCCACCCCTCTCCAGGGAACTGCTGTGCTTCTCTGAGGGACCAGGGCTCATCACTGAGGTATTTTTGGTGGTATATTTTTTAATTACAATTTAAGAAATCGTTGCATGCTTTGATTTTATAGAGTAGCCCGGTTCAAAACTTGATGAATCTATTAACTTTCCCTGGAAGGGTTTTTGTTGTTCCTTGCTTACATGGCAGCCCAGGACTCGCACAGAGCAGGGCAGCTGCTCTGCAGGGATGAGCAGGGTTTGCCTCTGAGCTGAGCTATGGCAGGATGGAATATCCTCCTCCTCTGCTGGGATTTCTTTCCAGTTATTTCTGTGTACAGAGAGACTGTCAGCAGGTACAGACCCAGGTGTTCTGTGTCTTACAGCAGTATATAAGTGTTATTTATGAGGCTCCTTGGGCTGTTCCTGAAGGACAGTCTCCAGTGAACACTCCTAGGTGCAGTATGGAGTTAGCACACATGCTTGGGGGGGTGATTTTGGGTAGGTATCAAAGGCATGAGCCAGCAAGTGGGTTATCAGAGCACAGAGAGTCTTGGGCTTTGGAAAAGGAGGGGGCACTGAGGACCACACCTCCTCACTGCAAAAATCCTCTGGAAGGTTTCACTGGGGCCAAACCTCTACAGCTCTATCTGAAATGTGGGCAGTGCTACAGGTATGGAGGGGAAAGCAGGGGAGAGTGAGGTGTCCTCACTTACAGTGAAGAGCACAGATTTAGACAGCAGGGGTCACAGCTTCACAAGTTGAAGCTATTCTGCATAGCTGTTGGAAGGACTCACAGAGCCCCATTCCAGCAAATATGCTGTATTTCCAGTGTTTATATGCTTCATCAAACACAGGCTATGCCCTGTGATAAAACATGGGGCTTGTATTAAAAGGCAGTGTACTTAAGAAACACATATAAAAGTCAGTCAGTATTTGATCAGGAACTAAAAAACAGATTAGATAGTGACCAAAAGCTGAAATCAGGCAGCCAAAGAAAAATACTTAATTAAACCTCAATAAGGGTCAGGTAGAGTTGTCTCTCCCCCACTTTGAGCATGTCTGCTCAGAGCAGTCACAAAAGACTAACTTGCTTGTGCAATGCATTACTTTAAATACATTTTCCTCACACTTGGATAAAGGAAGTTCAAGGCTATACTTGTATCATGTTTGGGGAATGGCAGTTTATCTGGGGTGGGCAAAAGCAGGTCCTGCCATAAGGCCACTGCTCAGATGAGCATGGTGAGTGTTTCCCAGCTGAGGGATGGACTGGGAAGAGCTGGTGCTTTTCATACCAGCTGAACAACAGATGCTCTGCACAGTTCTGATTGAGCAAATCTTGCTGGCTGAGCTGTCGATGGTGAGTTATAATTAGATGTCTAAGATGATTCAGGGTACAGATAAAAGCTGAAAATGGTGCACCTGCAGCTGGGGAAAAAAAATGCAAAATTGAGTAGAATTGGACAACACATCAATCAATCTGCCCACCAGATGAGAAGAGGGTAGGGAGAAAAACAACATGCTGGTGGTAAAGCCACAGCTGCCTTTGCCATTTCTGCATGAAGAAATGTAATACAAACTTTTACCTTCAGCCCCCAACTCTCACTGCCCACTATCTTTTTCTTTTCTCAGACAAAAATAGTGACATTTCTCCTCCTCACCCTGAAGAAAAGGTTGCCCAAGGGTCAAAGCAAACATTTCTGACTCATGGAAAGCGTAATGAAAGCAGAGCTTTCTAAAAGGAGCTCTTCTCTCTTCTTTCTGCAAGTAGAAAGACACAGCAGCTCTGCACTGAAACATTTGCTGTGTGGACCTGCAGCTGCCCCTTGGAGCTCTGGCTTTTGTGTGTACACCAAGTAAATACTTCTCCCCATGCTCAGGGACCTCACTGTGGGTCACAACCATCACTGACTCTGTTCCTTTGTACCTGATTTCTCTCCAGATCAAGATGCTTTGCTGGAAGTCCCAGAGAGGAGCTGCAGGTGCATCAGAGGTATGCAGCCAACATTAACAGGACCTTTCCTTCAGAAATCACTGTCCTGATCCCTGTCTCAGCAGGTTTGAAGCACATTCTTGCTGTGTACTGACATAACAGGCTGATTTCAATCAAACCTTGTCTGGTGTTTCTCTGCTCCCTGCCCTCCCAGCCCTCCCCCAGCCTTTTGAAATCATTGGTCAACTACTCAGTAGACCAAGGAGCCTTGAGGATGTTGCCATCTGATATTGGGAATACTAGCATTTCCTTGGTGCTGCCCAGGGAAGAAAAAGACATCAAAGTGCTCTCTCTCTCAAGGACTCACACAGGATTGCATGGGATTGGATATCAGGAAAAATATATTCTCCAAAAGGGTGGTCAGGAATTGGAACAGGCTGCACAGGGCAGTGGTGGAGTCACCATCCCTGGAGGATTTAAAAGCTGTGTGGATGTGGCACTTGGGGACGTGGTTCAGTGATGTGTTTGGCAGTGCTGGGTTAAGGGCTGGGCTCGATGACCTTGGAGGTCTTTTCCAACTTAATGACTCAGAACTAGTCAGAAGATGGCCAGGCTGCCTCCCTACAGGGCAGAGAGTGAGAGGTTAAGGACATGAAGCTCAAATACATCTCACTGGGAGTTATGTCCCTTTGGGATCTATAACTTTACTCTCCTGGACAAGAAGCAGATAAGATTGACTCTCTTGTCTGTTGTTGCTTACCTTCCCTTTCTGCAGCCTGCTTTGTCAAACTAAGTTAATGAAGCTAGGAATTTATATAAATGAGAAAACACACACTCAAGAGCTCCCTGCTTTACGTCTCTGACCCATTGGAAATCAATTTGGGATCACTGCTATCTATTTGGACTGGGCTCTCCATCCTTAAATTATCACTTTGTAATTTCCCTATGTTTTTCTTTTCTTTTTTTTTTTAATCTCTGCAGGGAACACCTAAAAGGGGATTTTTAATCCCCACATCTACATTTCCTGCAATTCCTGCATTTCCACCAGGCACTGGAGACCTTTCAGCAGCAGCAAGCAGGACTGCAGAGAGAAGCTTGTGGTGCTGAGATCTGCCTCTCCTGCTGAGCACAGTCCTTGGCTTGCAGACAACCTGCTGGAAAGGTGTTTGTGACCCACAGCAGCAGGAGGGGTTTGGGAGAGCCTGGGGACGTTTGTGGTGCTGAGGGTCACTCTTGCCCGGCTCAGGTTCTCCCCAGCAGCATCACCAGGAAGGTGCTGTGCTCAGCTGGGGCTCTGGTGAGGCTGGGCAGCACCAGGGGTTGGCTCTATTTCTGCATTTTCTCTGTGTTTATTTACCCAGCACAGCCACAGGGCAGGGAAATGCTCTGCTGAGAACGGGACAGCCAAAGGAGCCCGGAGCCGTGAGGGAATGTGGCAGGAATGTGGCAGGAATGCCGCAGGATACCATCAGCCACAGCCCAGTCTGTGTGACCAGCTGGCCTTGGGAGTGGGAAGGTGAAGCTACAGCCTGTGTTGTAAACCAAGCCCATCTTGGGCTCGTGGAGGCAGGGCAAGAAAGAAAGAAAGAAGAAATTA